AAATTTAATTTTTAGAAGTTCCCATTCATCTAGTTTCTTTTCTGCTGTTTGTGCATCTTGGGTTATGCTTGATAGTCTATTTATGCCATACATTAGGGCCCCTAAATATGCCCCAATTTTTTCCTTAAGGAACTTTATAATTTTAGGTTTCACATTTAAGTCTTTGATCCATCTGGAGTTAGTTTTTGTGTATGGTGTGAGGTACGGATCTTGTTTCATTTTTCCACAAATGGATACCCAGTTTTGACAGCACCATCTGTTAAAGAGACAATCTCTTCCCCATTTAATGGATTTCAGCCGTTTGTCAAAGATCAGCTGACCACAGGTCGATGGGTTCTCAATTCTATTGCATTGGTCTATGTGTCTGTCATTGTACCAATCCAGTTTTGCCTGATTAGCTCTTATTCATCTTTCAAGATGAATAAGGGGCCTTTATCTTGAGCTTCCCTCAACTCCTGAGGCAACCAAATGTCCCTCCTCTTAACCTCAATAAACTTGTCTCTGTTGGTGTACTTACTGCACTGCTAAAACCATTGGTTTATGAGTCTGTCTGGCCCCCTGTCCCCAAACTACACCCCAATATGAACACCTCCTGGGAAATCTATTGACCTCTATATCTGCAGGACCAGGTACACATCAGGGGCTTGATGAATCCATGGATGGAAAAATGATGGATGGATGGAGGACAGATGGATGGATAAATATATATGATGGATGGATGGATGGACTGACAGACAGGTAGCCTCGCTCCTCCTGGATTCTAGATGTGTAATTTTAAAAAGGCCTAACTCCCTTGTTTAGAAATACCGATCAGCAAAAGGCTACTGTTTTTAAGCCATGTTCATCATCAGGTTAACCTCTTAAAAGCTGTTCTTTAGGGTAACTTCTTAGCCACAAATAAGCACCCTGAGGTAGTGAGTCACTGGGTCTATGGGTTGGGGACCATGGTCACAGGGGACATCAAGCTCAATTGGCACACAGTATACAAAAATACTGCTCCACATCTTACTTCAATGAGTAGCAACTGTGGTCTTAAAAGCTTGTAAGCAGCCATCTAAGTGGCAACTACTGGTCTCTCCTCATCCAGAGCTGAGAATAGTGGAGAAAATCAAAGACACATGGAAACAGTTAGTCCAACGGATTAATGGACCATGAGAACCTCAATCTATATGACCCTGAGACCGGAACTAGATGGTGCCTGGCTACCAATGCCAACCACTCAGAAAGGGATTTAAAAACAAACAAGTAAAAAAAAAAATGTTCTTTAAACTATTGAAACAAAC